GCCAATAGGCTCACATTCCACCTGTCTTAATTCTATTAAGACTGCATCATCTGGGCCCTTCTTTTTCAGTCCATTTTCATTCTGAAATTTGTCTAGTCCTTTTTGGAACTGCTATTGCACCTGAGCCTTTTAGGCCTATTTTCTCTCAAGTATCACTGTGTATACAGCAGTGTATACCAATGTATATAAATCATTTTATTACTGGTGGGGTCGGGTATTGCTGATGTTGGAATCTGGATGGGTTTCTCTTGAATTTGGAATGGGCTGGATTGATAATTGACTCAAATTGGGGGGGGAAATGGGGCTACAATTGAAACTGAAAAGATGACCAAATGGGTCGCTGTGGATGTCCAATATTGGATGTCAACGCATACATGCATCAATATATATCACACCAGCATAAATCACAATCATCATATACCTCGAAATCAAGCTTGAATCCCCTAAGACATTTGAATTTTTTCTTTTTGGTTTCTTTCTGTTTATTCTAGGTTTACAAATAATAATTTATACACAAGGATCAACAATCAAAAGTATAATTATCTGAATTATAACGAACTCAATAACTCAAGACCAAACTCATGATCCGCATACCCAGATTAGGACCGGAGAGTAAAAATCTTACCTTTAGCCTCAAGAATGGTGAAAGTCCATCAAGAACACACCTGCGATCGTCATTAGCTCTCAAAGTCAAAAAGTGCAAAAAAAAATGTTTTTGGAATTTTATTTCCAACTTAAGTCACGTCTGTCCCATTATGGCAGCCCCAACCCGCCACAACAGCCCCACCCTGGCTAAAATAATCCCGCCAAAGCGGGTTGCACGGAATCAATGAGCAAATTTAAGAATTCCGAACCCCCATTTAGCCTGCAATTCATGTTTTTCCCTATTATTTAGCCTTATTTAACAAAGAAAACAATAACAAACAAAAATGGCTAAATGATTACTACCTTAGAGCAGCTCGAACAACACCTACCAACAACACACTGAACTTTGTTACATTTTGGAGTTTCCTTTCCATCACTTGACAAAAAGAGCCCAATTATAAACATTTATTTCCTAACCCTCCAAAAAAATCATACTCATAAAACTCCAGATACTAGTATATTATTCAATTCATAACAAAAATAAAATGAGAAGAGTAAGTGAATCATATTCAAGAAGAATCACATCAATAACCATAAAATTAGAGCTTTCTACGTTAAACATAAAGAAGTTGAATACTTATTTTTGGTTAATATCAATGATTCGAAGTTCAAGCTTTAGTCCTCTCAACTACAAAAACTAAAATCCGTCAAATCAAAGTTTGAGTATATGAATTGAATCAGGGAAAAGAATATAATCTTGTCCTAATACATGTACTTTTTGAGACTAGATTATTAACTCGTCCCTGAATGTTGATCTTAAATAACAGTTTTTCTTGTAGTGAGACTTCTTAACATAAAGTTACACTTACTCTTAGTTTGTTTGATTGATAGATAGGTAATCTAGCCTCCTACTTAAGATATATATAATTCATAAGGCTAATTTTATGTTGTCTAATTCGTGAGACTTTGATTAGACCGACTACTATAGGCTAGCTATTTCGAGCTTCTATACTAGCCTTTCCACTTTGGTGTAGTTTTCATTTGCATTGATATTGCATGAATACATCAAACAAAGGTAATTAGTAGTATAAGTCCTTCTCCGATAGAAAGTCGTTTGCTTGTTATCAAATCCTCCTCTGCCTTTATTTTGAAACAAAGTAGGTCTCCGTTATTATATTTTAGTCAGTTGAGAGAAGCGATAGCTTCGTGCTCCACTTCTCTCTCGCTTGTTTGCGTGAAGTCTTAAAACCTTTTTCGTAAAGTCTAAAAGCTTCCTAAAAGATTAAATACAACAAAAATCCTGGCATTGAGCTTTATTAATTAAAAATGCGACTCGTGAAGGTTCTAGCATCACTTAACTTATATTTCTTGTTCCCTCCTGTTGATATATTATTAATTTAAAATGAATTTTTTTTTAAAAAAAATATCCTTTTTAGTTTTGCTTCAAAGTTAAAATAGAAAAATAAATTGATATGGACCAAAAGTATTATTTATCTAATTGATGTTTCACTCTGATAAATGTCAAATCAAACTTCTCATTTTTTCCAAATTGTACATTCAGGTCATATGGCCTGTATTGCATCGACTGAAAAAAGCAGAATTATTTAAATTGATGACATTGAACTTCCAGACAAAATTATTTTTTTCTCCAATCCATAAGTTAAATTCCCCACATGTTTTTAAATCTTTTTCGTCGTAATTATTGTCCTTTTCTGAAATTAGGCGGAAAGTAAAATGTCTTTTTCCTAAAAGTATTATTAGAATCGAAAAAGTATTTTTGATAAGAAGCACTAGTATTTTGATGTTCTGTCAATAAATTTAATTAGTGTTTGGTCAACATACTTATTATTCGTTTTTAAGGTTTTTGAAGAATTTATATTCTATAAAACTTGATAAAACAACTACTATATTTTTAAAGAATAAATATTTCAACCTCTTCAAAACTCGATTGAACAAGCTATTATTGGTTTTTCCCGTTCATTTTTACATGTTTAAATTGTGATGGGAAATTTTGTTTGCTAAAACCTATTTTTGAACTCTATACGTTCATATTCTAAATATAAATATGAAATAACTAATTACTCCACAAATAAATATTTCACACTTTAATTTATGTGAAAATATAGATACAAAATTATTTTCCTTTTTGAATTTTGTAGTGGGAAATGGTTTTGCCGCTTTGTACGTGTTAATGCATCATTGCATGTGTAAGAAAAGTAAAATCAGCTTTTAAAAAAGAGGTAAAAAGTTGAAAAAGATTCGTTATATATATATATATATATATATATATATATATCTTCTTTATAAAATTATAGATAATAATTTTTTTTAGTTCTAGGTACACATGTTATCACTTTATTAACTAAAGACAATTGATTACTCATTGGACTTTGAGGACCACCTCAAATCTTGGCATTTTTATTGAATAAGATAAAAGTTTTTAACTTATAACTTGCGAAGTATATATTATACTCAGAAGAAAACAAAAGAAAAGTTCTAATATTAAATAAGATTATAAGAAGAATGAGTGAAACTATAAAGTACTAATTTTGAGAAATGAAAATAAAACTTTAGCCTAAATTAGGAATAATCAGTTCAAAAACCTGATGCATGGGACCACACACATCTTGTTGGTCATGTGATGTGAAAAATGGTGGTAGGTGGGGAGATATTGTTAGATATTGTTTTAAAATAAATGGTGTTTTTTAATTAGGCACACAATAAAAAAAAAGGAACAACTTATTTTTTAAAAATATAAGTAATTTTATTTATTAATTTGCTTGTTATCAAATAGGTTATGTGATTTCTGTAGCTTATACAGTTTTAAAAAGGCTAATTTAGTGATTTTTGATCATATAACAATGATTAATTGTAAATTAAAAGTTATTTGTATATATATAGTATGAGTTTGTTTTTAACATGTCATATTAGAGATGAAATTTGTTGTTTTATTACTAAATTTGCATGTCCATAATTACATTTTTTTATTACTACTCAGTTTGGTCGAGTTAGGATGGGATTAGTTACACTAAGATCATTTATTATTGAGGGATCGTTTGGTTACTGATTAGAGTTATGTAGGTATTAGTTATGCAGGGTTAAGTTATGTAGGTATTAGTTATACAGAGTTAAGTTATGTAGGTATTAGTTATGCAGTGTTTAGTTATGTAGGTATTAGTTATGCAGGGTTTGGTAGGGTTTGGTTATGCAGGGTTTGGTTATGTTGAGTTTAATTATATGGGTATTAGCTATGCGGAGATTAGTTATGTAGGTATTATTTTGTTAAGTTTAGATTATAATGCATGAATTATTAACTATTGAATATTAAACTTGTTGTAAATTATTAAATATATATTATTTACAAAATAATAATACATTCTAATAAAATGTGGAATATATTGAATAATATATAATGATAATATTTGATTAGCATATGTACCGTGAAAAAATATACAATCAAATTTTTCATATTAAAAAAATATTTATACTTGCTTAAATAAATAAAAATGGTAAGTATATAAAAAAGAAATGAAAATAGTCTTATATATGATAGGAAAACAGTAAAGTTTCCAATTAAAAAAATTAAAAGAAATGAAAATAGACTAATATAAAAAGAAATAAAAAAAAACAAACATGAAAACAATATAATTGTCAATTAAAAAATAAAATAAATTTATAGGGTAAATCTGTAATTTATCATTTAAATACATGTATAGCTAATATCCACGTAAATTATTTCATCTTCTACCCTGCATAACATTATACATAGATTTCCTCATAAATTATGTTGATATTAATTATGTACGACTAAAAAAATGCAACCAAACACCGTATAAATTAATATATAAATAACTTTTATACAATATTTAAATTCTTACAAACCAAACATGGTATAAGTTATGTTAACTTTTATACCTAAACAAAATTTCTATCAAACATAGTAAAAATAGTATAACTATTAATACGTATATAAGGTGTTTCTTATACAATAACCAAACGGCTCCTGAGTGTTTAGTATTTTAAGAACAAATTATTAATTTACAAATGTAAAAAGTAATATATAAAAAGGGGTTTAAAGGATATCTTTGTCATTAACTTATCTTAATTCGGAATAAGTTATTTATGAATTATTATACCACTCAAGGAGAGATATAAATTATCTCGATAGTTATTAATTTCGAAATAAGTTATCTCAGACTTATCAACTAAACAACAAATTACGTGACATTGTAATTTAATCCCAATATAAATATACTAATTTATGAAATAAAAATGAAACTTCATCCTAAAACTTGATGCATGGGATCTACTTGTTGGTAGTGTGAAAATTGGGGTAGGTGGGGAGAAGGTTCGTTGTGATGTTTTTGGATTAACGAAATTTAAACATTAAATCAAAATGAGAATGACATAAAATTAAATGAAAGACAACCATTTATTTTTTTATTTCATAGATAGCATCAACAAAACTAGCAAGGCAGTAATGAGCTATCCAGCTGATACATTTCATTTTAACATAACATAAACATAACCAAACCACACACAATTAAACTAATTAAACATAAAATTTGGCACCATAGCCACCAACTCATGAAGGCTTTAACAATCCTCAAGCTTGATCTCCACACTTTCAATGGATACACCTTCACCACCAACTTTTGGAACCAAAGTTACCGCAATTGTATCTTCATCTTCCAATCCAATATCCTCCAACAGTTCAGTTATCGCCAGCGTAAAAGTAACATCCTTAACATGATTATCATTATTTCCATGAACATGAGGCAAGCTAGTATAACTCCCCGCAAACTCCGCCTTATCAAGTTCTTCTGCATTCACAGTCTTGTCCACGTTCAAAAACACATCGAACCTTACATACTTCGTATCATCATATGCCATTTTATTGAATGTCAGAATCTCCTCCTGCTCATTTTTCTCTTGTGTTGTCCTTGACGAAGCTGGCCGCGTGATCGAGAACGAAATCGCACGGTCCAGCTTGGCCAGTGGGAACACCTTGCTAACTGGTGCAATTGACGCTGTATTCACTTTTCCTGATGATGACCTTCTGATTGGTTTGAAATTACGCCATGGAGTGGGCATTGGCGCGTAATCGAATCCCATTTTTTTACTATCCAAACAATCACGGACTTTCACGCGGTAAGGGTTACGATTTTCATCGTAGAAAAAGAATTCAGAGTTCAACCAATCTTTATTTGATAAATCCCTTCTTTTCCCGCCAATTAATTTCCACTCGTTCCACATCCTGTCCACATTAGCATGGTGACAGTAGAAAAGCGGGTCTAAACCAGCTGAATAGAAATTACCCATGTCTTCACCGTGTCCTTGTCTAGGACTATCACCGGTCCAGATATGGACCGGTGTATGAGGAATATTCTCAATAGTACCCATGCCTGGTTCTGGATCAGAACCCAGAGGGTAAGCAGCACCGAAGAATTGAGACGGGCAAGGAGCATTAGTAACCATTTGACGGTACATTAGTGTTAAATTATTAGTCATTATCTGTAGCTGAGGTGTTTCGACGTCCTTACCAAAATGACCAAGATCAATAATAGTTCCATTGCGATGATTTTGGTTACGTTTCTCATCGTAAAGAGATGAACCCTCACGATCAAACATGGGAGGTATACGCATACCTTTTGGATGATCCCAATTCCAGTAAGGTAAAGCAAAAGTTGGATCATTAATAAGTGACCCCAATATCCTTTCGTAAAAGTACAAGTACCATCTATGGAACGGAAAGAAAAGCCACGAGAAATGAACTTGCAATTCTTTACCACCAATTTTATAAGCACCGTTACAATAAGCACAATGAATATTAGCTTGTTGTTTAAACCCAAGAGGGTCAAAAGGGTCTTTATCAAGTTCCCTCATTCGACTTGTAGCCAATTGATACTTGGCTACGTACTCCTCATCCGCCGCATGAGCAGGGGGGCGGATGCGGAGTTTCGTCATAGGAGGGAACTTGTAGTACGGAACGCTATCGATATCATCAGGTACAGGAGGGCAACAACTGTATGAGACTTCAGTACCTTTATCATCTATATGGGCAACACCACAAGATTTGAGATCAGGTGGTGGTATAGGAGCAGCAGAGGCTAATGGTGCAAGATTAGCTGCACCATAAAAACCTCCTAACCCTAAAAGAACATTTCTCCTATCAACAGCGTCAAGGTTTTTGTCATGCTCGCCAACGTTGCATGAAACCTTGAAACTTTGACAGCGCCTTCCATGGAGGAAAGGTTGAGAGGGTTTTGATAAGAAAGTAGAGTGGTTGTTGGTGAAGGGAGAAGAGAGGGATTTGTTGGTGGATAATAAAGGAAGAGTATTAGGAGTAGAAGAAGACATTGTATTGTGTTATGAGTGATCTTTGTGCAAGGGTTGCTACCTTTATTTATACAAAAAATCGTGAAGGTAATGTAGCACAAAACGTGTAAAACATGAAATATAATTGGATCCGTTCTTGAGAAGAAAAAAATACAAAATTAGTTCGATAATTTAGAGTGAATTTTTTTTTTTTAGTTTCATGGGCAAGAGAGATTTTCATAAATCCTCTTAAAAATTGGAATTTTGATTTTAATGAATACAAACTAATGTATGTTGATCAATGTCAACGTAAGAATATATAATTATGGCTTAAGTCATACACAATCTTCTAAACTTGTCCATATATTTTATTTAGACATCTCAATTTAATTGTATACCTTTTAAACACAAATATAGTAAGAGAGTTGTACCTATTAAACATTTTATGCTGACATAGCAGCATGTGTATAGTACACACATGATAAAGAGCATGAAAGGGTATCATTTAATCAAAAAATAATAAATTTTTTTAAAAAAAATAAATAAATAAAATTAGCATCTCTTCATCTTCTTTTTTGACTCAACCACTATTGGAACCATATTCTCACCATTGCAATCACCGGTGTCCCACCATTAAATTTCATTCCATTTTTTTTTCGAGCTGCAATCATTCTTCTTTTCTATGCCACCTTGTTTTTTAATCAACTATGCGTTACCATATTCACAGTGCTCTTTTCCTTTATTTTTTCGGTCATCTTCTTCTCCTTTTTTTTTTCAGACCATCATCTTTTTTCTCCTTTTTTACCAGCCATCGAACACCACCTCATTTTTCTCCAAATTTATCATCGCCAATATCTTTTTTTCTTTATAGCTTTTCAAACAGTCAATCACAAATTTTAATTCGTTCATTAAAAAACAATATCACCAATCATCTTTTTCTTTATGCCAAATCAACTCAAACATGAATTGAATCTAAGCTTAAAAATAAAACATTAATTAGATAAAAAGCTGTACAAAAACTCAGGTGATTAAGTGTTTTTTTTATAAAAAAAAAAAGGAGGAAGAAGATGAAGTTGTGGGGGAGGGGGGAGCAGGTCTGAGCGGTGGTAGGAACATACATACTTTAGGATTTTATTTTTTTAATTATAATTATTTTCGAGCACAAAAGATAGATTACTTTTTTTAAGACACGTGGCTTCTTTTAATTAATTAGTTTGCCATGTCATCGCAAGTGCATCACACACACTTGACACTTTTTGTTGATTATCAAAATGTGTCTAATTAGAAAAATTTTATATAAGTAAAAGTGTTCAATAGGTAAAAGGTTAAATTGAGGTGTCTAAATAAATAATGAAGACAACTTTAAGGGCCACAAAGGTCTATAATTATTGAGTAATGTATGTAATTGAATGTCAACCTTAAGAATATATAATTACTAATTATTGAGTTCTAAAAGAATATGATGTGTGTTGTGTCGATTTTTCTAATTTCATGAATTATTTATAGATAATATGTGAATTATTTCTTTTAATCCTTCCTAACAAATGGACCCCTAAAAGAATAAGACCAATTTCTTCTTAAAATTTTGAAATATGACTAATTTTGAAAAATAATGAAAACAATAAAATGAGAAGACCACTTATTTAAAACTGGGTGCATATTAGATTAATTAAAAACATGATGCAGAATAATTAAGAGCTAGCAAAATGGGACTCAAAAAGTATAAACTGATTGCTATTATGCTGGTCACTCTTCTAAAAGTCTGTTTAAATTGAATTAGAATTTAATTAAATCTATTTTATGTAATTTTTAGTTTTTAGGAATAGTTGTTAAAACTAAAAATAACTTAAAATAAATTGCAAGTGACTTAATAAAAGTTAAAATTAGACATTTCCTTACTTTTTATTTTTAACTTAAAAATTACTAAAATTTTGACTTTTACTATTTTTATAAGTATAATTTTTAGGAATAACCATAGGGTAAGGGACAAATAACATTATATTCATACTTTTTTTAATTTATAAAAATCCATTTAAAATTAAATATTAGTTCCTCCAATAAAGCAAATCAAATTAATGTCAATCTCTTTAAATAATAACATATTCAAACAATTCAAATTTCAAATTTCAAATTTTCTTTTCTTAAATCAAACTCAAATCATAACAGATTCAAAAAAGTTGAAAACATTAATTGATACATGATAAAAATATCTATTTTATTGAGATATTTTGATATATGAAAATAGACCTGAGTTCATATATATCCAAAAAAAAAAATAACAATAAAAAATTTAAAAAAATCAACCAGTTATTCTATCAATTTTATGTCACACAACCTTCATGCCCTTTCTCCGATTTCTCTGGCCATCTATAGAAGATGTTGAAGAAGAAAAAAATCTTTTTTTTAGAGCATTCTGTCCATGTGTTTTTTAGTTTTTTTTTTTTAAAAAAAAATTCCATCTCTATTTGTTTCTTTTCTTTGGACCTGGATAAGGAAAAATTATATTTTTTAAAATAATTATTAATTTTAGTGATATTTTTTATTTATTATCATTTATAGCAATATTATGATAAATTTTTAATATATATTAAAAGTGAATTATGTATGCAATATATTTGAATTATAATTGTTTTTGACATATATTCTGTTTGTTAGGTAAAAAACTATCACATTGTATTATAAATGTATTAAAAAGTGTGATAAAAGTATTATTCATCATTAAAACTTGTATTATATTTGAATAATAAATTTATATTTGTAATATGTATTAAACTTGTATTATAATAAATTAAAAATGGTCAAGTGAAAAAAATGTTATTGCTATAAATGATAAATATTTTTTTATTATAATATATTTATGTAAGTTTCCCTAAAAATAATCATTCATGAACAAACAAAAAAATATGTCATATACATAGGTGTAGGAATCTAATTAATACTGTTATTAAGCATTAGGACTTATGTATAAGCAATAATATTTGATAATATCTCGGGATACATAGTTTTCTAGTTGAATAAGTTTGGGTGTACATATCTAGCAATAAAAAATAATGAAATGTGTAATAGTTATGTATCAATGTATTTCATACATTATTTAATGATCAGTAGTTATAGATAAGTCAACGAAGAAAATTTTTGAGCCAAAAAACTTCGAAAACTTTTTTGTAGTATTTTGAAATTTTTCAACTAGTCCAAATTTGAAAGAAATTGGAGTCAGTAAGGTCTAGGAAAATCTGATAGCAATTGAGAGATCTAATTATGATTTTGATCACATGACTAGATAGCTAAGACGTTAAGAAACTCGTGCGACTTTATAGGTTGAATTTGAGCGAGTAGAACTCGTGAAATCGATCTTGCTGTAAACGAGTAGTTTATGAGTGTCATGGATTGATGTGTTGTAAATGGGAGTATGGAACTCTTGATTCGACTCCTAGTTTCGTGCAACCTGTTGTGGCAGATTTATTCCCACCAGGATGGGGCTGTTGTAGCGGGATTAGAATCTCCATGGTGGGACAATTGTGAATTAAGTCGAAAATAAACCCAATGAACGTTTTATTATGTACTTTTCAACTTTGAGAAATAAAGAACAATCCAGGTGTTTTCTTGATAGTTTGTCATGACCCAAAAATGGGTGTGATGGCACTCGTCTAATCCTACCAAGACAAGTCAGCCTAAAACTCAACATCTAACAAAGTGCAAAAATAAACAAAAATTCAGCAACAGTTTCAATTAAGAAAACAAGTCAACTTAATTCAATCCTCAAAATCAGGTTGTCACGTGGACAAGTCTCTAATGAAAATATTACAATTGAATAAAGCACGCGACTCTAAAATGAAGTTGTCTTTCAAATAAAAACAAAGTCATAAAACTGGAGTAGGAAGGTTCGTTGAGGTGACAAACAACTACCTCAAAATTCTCCACAAGATGCCTCGAAAACAAAGAGAATGGAAGGTATCACAAAGATCCGGGCTCGTAACCTATAAAAAATTGTAGAAGCAATAGGTGAGTATCAAACCACTCGATACCCAACAAGCAAACTTCTAAACACAAGATAAGAGAACAAAATACGGGTACTCCTTAAACCATATCTGAATTTCCACACTACCACCTAACAGTTCACAGTTTACAAAGCACACAGCTCAACAACAACACTTTATCAGATTACATATTCACTATAACAACTCAATATTCACAGTCACAAGTTCCACAGAAAAACACTGCAAGATCAGCAAAACACAAGTTCAAGATCATCAATAATAAAAATGTGTAATGCCATGAGATGCAATGCCAAGTATAGTGATGCATGTCTGCCCTAATGATACACACTCGTCTCTCAGTCTGGGACCCATGAAGACATATATGTCCATACATCTACCTTGGCGCACGACACGACCCTCGATAATAGTAAGCGTCGTGACACGCGATACGTTTCTCGAAATATAATATCTATCGCGGCACGCGATACGACCCTCGAAATGGTATATCTTATAACATAACTCTTATCACAACCATGTTTCAAATGCAATGCAAATGACATGTTTAAACAAATAATGAGGAAATAATCATTTTGATAACAAGACACAATTCACAACAATGCAACCGTAATACAACATCAAGAAATAAGCAACAAGCCTCCAAATCATTCTCAAACATCACACAAGAAACTACACGAATTTCATACGCTTAACAAGGATTTAGAAATGCACTTACCTTTGCCAATCGAATAATCACTCTTGGGCCTTCCTTTTCCGTTGAGCTTCCGAATCGATGGAATCTATTCAAGTATATATATTCACAATAAGGTTTCGGAACTAACAATACCCACATTATCATGTGTTTAACCTTTACCTAAAAATTTAGGGATAATTCCCAAGTACCCCCTCAACCTATGCCCGAAATCTCAGAGACACACTTATACTATACTAAGGTCCTATTACCCCCATGAACTTATATTATTAATAATTTTTTACCCCTTTTTAGCCCACGTGGCACTATCTTGTGGGCCCAACGATGGTTGATTTTTTTGTTTCAAACTAGTGTCGCGTAAGCTAAAAAGGG